GCCAATCGGATATCGTGCGCACTCATCTACCTATGTCCAGTCTCATCGCGCTAGTCCCACTAGGTGCATAGTTACTTGTTTTCACATCCCTAACATTGTCGACCGCATTATTACATGTATTCCCATAGTCTGCAGTACCTCATGTCTTATTACATAGGACATCGGACCCAAAATATTGCGCTACTACTTTCGCCTATAGGGTTCTGGATTTCTATGTATCTACATAAATATTGGACTCCCCATAGCATCATCATCATCCGAGTAGAGGAGAATCATCTCCGACGCTTAGGGGTCAAACCTGATATTTCATAGTTCTTAGTTGACATTGCGAATATCATCGTTCCTTCACCATCTGTACCCGTCATCGTTATTATTGCACAGACCGCTTGCTTTCCTGACGCTCGCTATCGCATTGAAGGTTCAACGATACAGCGAGGCACAAACAATGCTCCTGACTGTATCTATAAATGTTGTAAGGTCGCGCATTGCCTAGTCTGCTATACTTGAGATGACAAGTGCGTTCGACCCTAAAGGGGAAGCGAGTGCAGCAAGGATCTAGTAGTAGGCGCCGAAGGCGCTACTGGTTGGCGAGTGCAAAGCGCAGGAAAGCGAAGGTGCGCGCGAGGCGCGAGAGTGCGCGAAGCGCGGGAAGCGCGGGAATGCGCACGCGTGTATGCAGAAACAAGTGAGAGTAAGAGTGAGTTTGCTTAAGTGATGATTAGACACTAGACAAGAGGTGAGAGATGCAAGCTGAGAGATGTTATATGCGAGGTGCCAAGGAATAGATTTCAACTATGCTCTGCTGGGTAGTAAATGGGTATTGTTTTGGTTCAGTCCTCTGTCGTTATTGGTGTGTGAGTAGTGAGTAATAGTATTATGCTGGCGCTTAAGTATGTCGCCTAAGTTGCTGTCATGCGGAGCCGAAGCGATACCGAGTAGGTAGGTAAGGGTATATGAAGTAAGGGTCCCATGATAAAATAAAGATGGAAAAATATTGCAAATGTGAGACATGGAACTATACGCCCTAGGGAACTGGTGGACAGTGGATGGATGTTTCTGGTGGCTGGCGCTATAGGGCGATCAAGCACGGGAAAAGTGAGCGCAGGCATTACTCGATGAGCGGCTGGAAGGCCGCGCGCGAGTTGCGCTCTCTTTCGGGGACAGCTGCGCCTCATGTAGGACATAGCTGTAGGAAGCAGACAGAGTGATGTGATACAAGTCGTGCTGTATACTCCTTGGTGAAAAATGCATTTGCACAAGGAGAGGCATGAGTCTCTACACCGGGTCCAGAAACAGGTGATTACCATAAGGGGATGAGCGCTTATTTAAGGTTTGGGTTCGGATATGAAGCATAGGTCGGATCCGGAGATCCTGGCAAGTGGATATCAGATTGAGTGTCTGGGTTTTGGATCTGGATGTGTGGATATGCAAAGGTACAGGGATCCGGGTGTACAGGCATCTTGACAGATAAAGGACATGGACAGGGGGTCCAGAGGTCCGGATGAGGTGTGGGAACATTGTTGGATGTAGGTCCGGAATACGGGATATGACAGGCTCTTGCCTCTGGTCCACATGCTTTTTGGACTCTACACACTCTGAAGGTCTATCTTTGTCAATCCTAAATCTCTCTAAGTATTAGCTGCTTCTTTTGGACTTTACATGGTTCATGTTCCTTACCCAGACCCCTGCCTTCCTACACCAGTACAGCAAAGTTAGACCTGAACAAAAACCTAATAACACTATTTTGATTCAAAGATATTTATCTACTATTGGTAATTTTGAGCCTGATTAATATTGCTGTAGGTTTTATACATAAATTAGAAACTTTTTTGCTAAAACCTTACTAGAGGCAAATGCAAGTATCCTTGATACAAAGTTTAATATATGACCAAAGTATTGATGCAAACTTAGAAGGATAAGTACAAGAAAAATTTAATTATTTCCAAAGGTCTTGACTTACACATCTATCAAAGCTGAGATTCTAGGCAAAGATTTGAAAGAGCCATCTGGCCACTAGTATTCACTTATGTGTATGGTTGCAGTGTATCATATTTAAGATCTTTTATTATTATGCTGCTCTCATCTTGCTGTTTGAAAGTTTTTTGTTGCAATCTTTATTCAATTCATCTATGTAGCTGAGGAGAAACATTATGAGTTCCTCAGCAGTAGCATGATTGTAAATATGCTGTAGGATTCTGGACTAAATGTCACTGTGTACTATTGTTAGCCAAAGAGCCTATCAAAAATCTATAGAGCACCATAAGTTTTCCTATCCTATCCATCCTTTGTCCAGTAAATAATCTTGTCCAACAATGAACCTGCTTTTCCTGCACTTTGCAGCATCCGCTTGGCTACACTTTTCCATGCATTGGCCACATAGCGCACATGTTCCTGCACTTTGGATACCTCAGAAATGCATTAGGAAGACAATATACCATTGCCTTCACTCTATCTAAACCTCATTTCTTGACTTCTTTATTTCTTGTCCACACTTTCCTGTACTTTGGATAGCCTCACATACACCTCTGCACCTCGCACATTACCTGTCTGCTATTTTCCCATGCTTAGCACATCCTCAGGTTACACATATCCTTCATTGTTCTAGTAGCAATTCCCTTTAGGGTTAAACATGTCTGTTAAGACATAGCAGCTAGGTATAGCAATGATCCAATATTATTTTGCTTGCCACTCAGCAAGCTTGTTGTTTCCACACCACCTTGAATATGTATATCCTCTGGTCAAATGTCTGAATGTTTCCTCCTCTACAACCCTTGTTCATATCTGTATCCCAATCTCTATTCCTATTGTATCTTCAGAACTCCTATCTCTGGACCTCCAGAAATTATTTGTACCTATTGCTAGACCTCTTCCCATGCTTTGCCCATATTTGTACTATTTTCCTATTTAGGTATCTCTGCTTTTCCAGCTTTCAGTTATCTCTGTTTTCATCTTACTTATTGATCCTTGTATGAGTTTCATCTCTAAGTTCATTTACTTATAATTCTTCTCACTTACTAATGTATTTCCACATGCTTATAATAGAACAATAATGTGGACTGGGCATGTACAGAGGAGCAGTATGTTCAATCCAAGGGCTTCTGGTGAGGCCAGAGCTCAGAAGGAAGTGAAATTGATGCAGAAAACAGCAAATAGTAACTCCTAAACAGCAGGTAGGAAGAGGGAAATCTAATACTAGGAGCTTTCAACAAAACTACAGCCTGTAACTACTTATTGGAGACATTAGGCATACTGGGACCAGAAAAACAGTAAAGTATTTGGTAGAAACTGTGGAGGGTTCAGAGTGCAAGTATCAGGGTACTAGGTGAAGAAGAACATGATCAAGTCAGCAGTAAAAATGCAAACCTGAGAAAATTGACTATAAATAAAGGTGTATCAAAATAAACCAATATGATCTCAGCTGGAGGCTGAGTGCTACATTGTACATAGCCTTACCCCTCTGCTTACTAATCTGCTCAGACTTGTCTCCAGTATAGAAACTCCTATAGAAACTCCTGTACTTCCTCAGTCTGATTATCATATTAGTCCTCACACTAGATCTCACACCAAGTCTACATACTAGTTCTTGTTTCTTTGTCTTTGTTAATACCCGCCCCAGGCCTAGGGAGGAATTCCTGTTATGACACAAGGTCGTATGCGACTTGGATGGTTCTAACAGCAACAACCATGGCAGTGGTACCGAGTGCTGAGAGTCATCGGTGTAGGTGAGGAATGTAGAATGATAGAAAGTGGGTGGTATGAGATATACTCAGATGGTCCTCTGTGCGCGAATCTAATGTCGGCCCAAGGGGATTGCTACTGAGAAGGTTCCTCTATGTACAATAGTGGAGGGAAACACTGAACTGGACTGTCAGATAAGCCTGGTGAGGTGTGCGACGGTGGGCGAACCGCAATGAGCGAAAGCGCTACAAAGTGCTACTGAGCGACGAGTACGATGGCACGCACTGAGTGTGAGCGAAGCGCGCGTGCGGGGGGTGGAGTGCAGTGACTCTTAAGTGAGTCGGGAGACAAGTAAGACGACATTTGTATATAAGAATATGAGAACTGGCGCTCAGTGTCGGTCAGCGGATACGATGGAGATTTTAGACTTAGAGTCCAACATTTGTGCGGGAAGAAGATGATCATCATTATACAAAAGGCAAGGTATATATATTCTAAGTAGTGTTTAAGTGCTGTCAAGTGCTAAAGCGAGCCGGGAAGCGAAGTGAGTACGTGATGATATGTAAATAAGGGTCCATGACGAAACATATGGAATATGTGCGCAAGCGCCAGAGATATGTCAGAATACATGAGAATAAAATAGGAATACATACGACAAACCGAACGGACATGGAATGGATGGACGGAGGACCAGCAATGGAACCGAAGGTGCGTGCGCCGATGCGCGACCTAAGCACCTGTATGCGCGAGTGGCCGACAAAGCGCCAAGTGCACAGAAGTGAGATACAGGTTGCGCTGTGTTTGGAAGGTGATTTAGGGTGTTGTAAAATTAGCTCTCTACGAGGCCACAGAGATGTCAGTCTCTACATCTCATAGGAACTTAGCTTCTGACTGTCCCCAGTCAGCATACATAGGGGTGGATGGACTTGGCGAATTTGCGACGAGGAAAGTCACGTGATCGTGGGCGAAACACGCCAAATCGGATGTGGAGCAGATCCACTGTGGTCGCGTGAAGTGTGGTGAGCGGGCGGAATTGTGCTGACATAATGTGGTTCATTTCCGACATAAAAGCCAGCCACGTGTCGCGCTTCTCTTCTTCAATTCAATACTCCATTGCAGCTTCACGATTATCTTTTGCTTCCATCATTCATCATGTCCTCTATCATCTTTAACCCTGCTATGTTGACAGTGTCTCCCTCTCCCTCCCCCGAACCTGAGGAACACCCACTAGAGGGTGGCAATGCTGTTGACGACGCCACTCGATGATGCGGCTCCAAAGGAGCCTGAGGAATCTGAGTGACGGATTGAACGTGCTTGGGCCGCCGTACTTAACACTATGCACGTGTGCATTGAGACTGCTCCTCCCTCCAAGCCGAAGCTATTGGAGGAACAGGAGTCTTGGCTTCGCGACTGGAATGTCGCAATGGTGAGTGGCGTTTTACTTGGTGCTTACTTGATCGCTAACGGCTCCCTTTTAGGCTGATATCTATGAGCGGGCGCGTGCGGCTTCGCTGCATGTGTCCCTTAATGATGCGGAGAATGTTACGTTGGCCGAGGGCAAAATTGCCACGAGGATGCTGACAAGAGCTGTGAAGGCTTGGAAGGAGAAGGCGGAAGAGTCTGCCGTGACTGTGCGCCCAGCGCACGCTGAGAAGGGGAAGGTGAAGGAGGTTGTCCAGCGAGGAGACGGCGGAGAAGGTGACAGAGAAGTCGGGTGAGAAGGCGCCCAAACCTGTGCTTACCGATATGGGATCGGTGAGTTTTTTCTTTCTTTCTTCGGTTTTTCGGTTTGGCTGACATGTTTTTCTTTTCTAGTGTTTGGGTGGGCGTATGACCGCCACCTCTGTCAGCCATCCTGCTGAGAGGTGCGAGTGTTGCGCCGCGTCCGGCGCTAAGTGCATCGTTGTGCAGCCAAGCGGAAGGTGCGAGGGCTGCGTTAAAGTGCGGAAGGGTTGTTCGTTTGGTGAGTTGGCACTTATTACTTCTTTTTCACTTTACTCATGCCTGATTGATTTAGTTGCCGCTAAGAACAAGGGATGCGTGCTGGCTGTGCCGAAGCGCAAGGCGCCTCCCTCGGCGCAAACGACTGCGCCAGAGAACCGGTGATCCGAGGTGGAAATTGTGGGTGAGGCTACGGCCGATGAACCCATTGCCGGTACCTCGAAGGAGGCCATCGTTGTCCAGTGGCCGAAGCGACCGCTTGCCTCTGCTGCTGCACCTGCGGCAAAATGTCCTCGCTTGGATGCCAATACCGAGTTGGACGAGGCACGCGCTGAGTCCGCTCAACTCTGTGCTGAGAACGCTGAGCTTCGCACTTGGAACAATAAGTATCGGGTCGCTCTCACTGAGATGCGTCAACACTCCCGGACGCAAGAGTCCGAGTTGCTCCACATGAGGCAACTGGCTGTATCTTTTGGCGCCGATTGGGGAACTTGGGAGAAGGAGCTTTGCGAAGTCCTAGAGGAGTAGATAGTCTCTTTAGAATACTTTAGATTTGGAATCGCCTGCTAGCACCAAAGAGCGCTTTGTACTATAGAGTCTCTGATTTCTCCGGCGCCTGGTGCGCCTAATACGATAGTGCTTTGTGTCCTGTCCATGTCTGTGTCCAATTCCATTGTCCGATTCGATTCGCCAGCCTGATTAAGTAAGAGGAATACGCGAGTGAGTGCATGTAAGAAATATAGAGTTATGAGAAAATATGGCGGTCACGCAAGCTGCGCGCTTGTCTTGTCTTCTTCGGGCGTCCTTTCGCGTCTATTCCTTCGCATGTCCCTGTGTGTCGCTGATATTAGATGGTGTTAATGTATAGTCTATGAGTAAAAAGGGGCGCGGCGTGGCTGTGCGCATTAGAAATGGAAGGTCTATGGGATAGTCATGCGCGTGCTTCTAGGTAACTTATCTTCAGTATGTACTTTGACGGTTTATTATCGCCCGATCGGCGGTTATAGAATAGAGTCTGTTGGATGTATGTTCAATGCAATGCGTGTGTTATGAGACATGATAAAAGAAACTGAGGTCGTTGGCCGAAACCCGGGGTAAAACAGAGATAATGGAAGTTGACGGTATGTTTTTGTGATTGTTTTGTTGTTATATATTGTTTTGTTTTTGTGTGCGATGTGGAAAGCGGGGATATGCGGTTAGGGTGTTGGGTGATATGCGGGAAGTGATCGCGGCGCCCTCTGGTTTGTCTTCATTGGGTTCTTCAATATCCTCGTCGGCTAAGTGATCAAGGGTCTCATCGTCTTTACCAGTGACACTAGTCACCATAATGCGCTCATCGCTGCGCGGATGATAAGGGATGATGTGGAATGCTGCGTAGCGTAATTTAGAGATAGCGCCATCCAACTCGGCCAGCAGATATGAGCCTCCTTTCATGCAGCGCACTATAATCATAGGTCCCAAATATTGCGGCTTCGTTTTCTTGCTCAACTCGTATTCAACCTTCGAATTGCGCACCAGTACTAAGGTACCGGGTGCATGGTTGTAATCGTGGATCGTCGCACGAAAGCACTTCTCAAAATCGCAGATAGACGCGTAACGCACCTTCATTACCTTGTCCCTGATAGTGCTGAGATCCTCTATGTGCTTCTGTAACTGCCATGCGCGCCAAGCAATGAGTTCTGCAGTGGTAAATGGCGCGTGCTGGCGTTGGCGCTAAGAACGTAGCTTCTGCAAGGTCAAAGGGGAAGATCGGTTCAACACTGTGCACCATAAAATAAGGTGATAAGCCCGTTGACTTGTGCACGGTGACGCGCTCGGCCCAAAATACGGAATGAACAACTTGATACCAATGAGTATCATCTCCATCGCAAGTTTTAATGATGGCCTCCCGGACATCACGGTGCCGGCGCTCTACTATACCGTTCGCTTGCGAGTTATAGGGCGATATGCGGATTGGATGGATATCATATCTTTCCGCAAGCATGTCTGTGGTGAGTCTATAAGCGGGCACATTGTCAGTAATGATTTCGGTGATAGGACCCCATCTGCATAGTAGCTCTTCATATATGAAGGCCATGAGCGACTTGGTATTCTCCTTGCGCAACATGCGCCATTCGGGATAGGACGTGAGCACGCAGTGCGCCTGTACCAGATACTCGTATCTGCCTGCTTTGGGCATCTTCATTGTATCGATGTGTACTCTGCGAAACAAACCTCCAGGCGTCGGTACCATCAGTGGTACTTGGAGCTTTAGTATCTGCCTGATTTGACATTCATGGCATGTGCGTGTGTACCACTTGATATTGTCGTTGATGTGCGGCCACCAAAAGCACAACAGCAGCTGCGAGCGAATGGCATATACGCCCTTATGACCTAGGTCATCGTGCACTTGTTTTAGCAATTGATATCGCTTATGCGGTGAAGGTACAACAATTCAGATGGTGAGTCTGAACAATGTTGGGTCTTGCAGAACCTAGCTGCTATTCGACCCTAAAGGGTTTCTGGACCAGGCTCAAGGCTCAGAGAAGAGGAAATATGATAGAAACTTGCTGAATACTCAGACTCATAGTAGAACTGGTGAAAAGGTAACTTGATTATGTAAGCTACAAAGTGCCAACATAAGGTAAGGTAAAGACAGTCTCTCCAAGCCTAGCCAGAAATGAATCCCTACATCTCATGGGAACTTTGAATCATGACTGTCCCCAGTCATCTACCTATGCAAACCAAAGCTAAGCTAAACTAAGAAAACTAACCTGGGGGTCCTCAAACACCTTTTGTTTCCTTGACGCGTATGCCAGGTAAACTGCGCCAGTGAGTGAGGGTCAGGCAATGCAATAAAACGATAATCTCCAGACTTTGCTTTGAGTACTGGAGGAGCAGCGATGATAAAGTGATGTAAAACGCGATGATGGTGCATGGATGACGACGGGGAGTGGACGGATCGAAAGGGGCGAACGAGGGCTTCGAAATGAGTATAGGGTCGACTAGGATTGGTCAAGAACTGAGCAAGATATGAAAAGAATGATGGAAAAGGGAGGGAAACGCGAGAATGGCGGATTGCGGAGGAACGCGCGGACGTATCTGGAAGCGGATCGGACGGATGGAAAGCGGCGGCGAATGCGGTCAGAATGAGTATAGGGTCGATAGGTGCGCGATCAAAGGGTGAGGAGATATAGATAAAATGGTGGAAAAGGTGCGATAAAATGGGGGGCAACGGAAAACGCGAATGGTGGGCGAACGGCGTGTCGGATCGTGGCGCCGATGGGCGCGAATGAAAGCCATGAACGGGGGCTTCAAAACTGGTATAGGGTCGAGGGGGTTCCAATGCGAAATGGGCTGGTGAAAGTGCGAAAAAGTGCGGAGGTGCAAGAGGGAGGAGGAGGAGAAGGGGTATGGTGGCAGGGCAACAAGGGCTGGTCCTATCAAGAAGCAGATTGGGGCAATGGACAGAGCCACTGAAGGATGGTAAATGGCCAAAAGAGCTAAAAGAGACAGGCCTTTGAGCACCCAGAAAACCCTTATCTCCCCTCAACTCTCAAAAACACCAAAAACTCGATAACTCCACAACTACTGCTCCAAATTCGATGAGCGAGGGCTCAAAATGACCGGACGTACGTGGGGAATACGACTCTAAGTTTGCGAGAGATCCGCTCGAAAAACGCGTGAGAAAAAACACCTATCAGTGCGCTGGAGAGGAGGAGAAGATGCTGAAAACTGGGAATTGTGGGAGAAGCTGATAAGGAATGACTGTGGTAGGATAATAGGCGAATTTGGGGATGATTGGAGAGCTGGAAGAGCCTAGAAACACAAGAAACCCTCGCGGTGGGCTCCAGTTGAAGGTACAACAATTCAGATGGTGAGTCTGAACAATGTTGGGTCTTGCAGAACCTAGCTGCTATTCGACCCTAAAGGGTTTCTGGACCAGGCTCAAGGCTCAGAGGAGAGGAAATGTCATAAAAACTGCTCAAGACTCAGACAGACTCATACTGGTAACTGGTGAAAAGATAACTTGGTTATGTAAGCTACAAAAGTGCAAACATAACACTAAGGTAAAAACAGTCTCTGCAAGCCCAGCCAGAAATGAATCCCTACAGCGGTTTTACCATGAGCTGGTGTTTACCGTTCGCTTCGCGGCGCCAAAGATTGCCTTCAAGGACGAAGAAGCACGCCGCGTGATTGACGAACACGGCAAA